GACTCTATTATATCTGGATCTCTGTTCTGTTCTCTCATATGGTTTCTGCTTCTTTGTCTTCCCGTTTTGGCTGCCTTTCTGTGTCTGTTTCTATGTACTACACAAAGCTCCTAAGTCTCCCGGTCTTATTAGTGTGGCTTTGTGAAGTAGGTGTCTAGTGGCACAGTCCTGAGAGGGGTTCAGCTGCAGGCCAAGTTTAGCACTAGCCTCTACCCTTCTGGGCCGCCTATTAAGATTCAGCAAGCAATCAGTATCTGTATGGCCTTAATCGAGTTACTTAAGTCTTTATTACCTTATCAGTAAAATTGGATAATCATAATATTTCCTCATTAGGGTTGTGAGAATTAAATCAGAAAACATAAGAAAGGCCCCTTAATGCAGTGCCTGTCACATAGTACATACCCAGGAAATGTTAGCTGTAATTATTAATGAGATAGATGATCAAGCTGGGCCATACAGTTTTAGTCAAAGAGGAGATATGACTGTAAAGTAATGTATATAAAATATATATATCCTCTTGATATTGTTTAATGATCATCGAAACTGTTCCTCTCCCCATTTTTTTTCCTCAATATGCTTTAGTTTGGTTAGTTTCTGTTGCTTTGTCTCCAAGTCATTGATTTTTTCTTTTGTATTGCCTAATTGTTTTTAATCATTTTATTTCAGAAATTGTGTTTTTCTTCTTGAACTTGCATTCAATTCTATATACATGTAAAACTTTCTCTCATAATGTTCATGTTTTTCTTTAAATCCTTGAACATGTTAGCCATATTTATAATTACTTTTAATGTCCTTTACCAATTTTGTCACTTATGTTATTTCCATGTTTGCTTCTATTGAATGATATTTTTCTTGGTTATTGGTCACATATTCCTGCTTCTTTGCATATCTAATAACTTTTGATTGGATGGTGAATATTGTGAATGGTGTACATATGAAAATTTTTGAATGTGTGGATTTTATCTTTTAAAGAGTTTTGGGCTTGTTGTTTTCTGTTAACAGTTATTTGGTTATCAACGTGATCTTTTTAATCTTTTTTTTGTATAGGTCTAAAGTTAAAGTGGCCATTATTGCATTTAGTTTAGCTACTAAAGCTTTACCCAATTGCGATCTCCACTGAAAGTTTTGGTCTCTGTTTGTTGATTGGTTGGAATGCAAATATCTCCCTAAATGTGAAATTTTAGAATATCTTATCTTTCAGTTCCCTGGTCATTCTTTGCAGAATCTTGTGGAGTTACACCTTACTCATGCTTATCTTAGCATTCTGCAAAAACTCAGAGTGCATCCAGTTCAGATTTCTAAAGCTCTTTCTACATAGTTTCCTCCTCTCTGGAACTTAGTGCTGTATCTTCCAGCCACTTCAGCCTTTCTTAACTTCTATCTCTATTTTCTCACCCAAGCAGAACTACCGTGCTGAGCTTTGGATCTTCTTCCCTGAACTTGGTCCAAAATGTGCCTCCAGACAGAAAACTGGGACAATTATACATATAGATTTATAGTCTATTTCAAATTAATTTTTGTGTATGGTATGAGGTAGAGGTCAGGGTTCATTTTTTTCTATATAGGTATCTAGTTGTTTTAATCCCATTTATTGAAAAGACTATTCTTTCCCCATCTAATTATGTTGTCACCTTTATGGAAAATGTGTGTGTGTTTTTGGACGCTATCCCTTTCCATCGATCTTTGTCTAGTTCCATAGTAATGCAATACTGTGGCTTACAGCATGAATTTATGAAAGATCTAATGGGTGTTTTGGACGTGATATAAATTTCATTTGACTTTATAATCTTTTGAAAAACTAGTTTGAAATATTGTGCTTCCACTAATTTGAATGTAATGTAATGGTATCTCATTAACAAAGAAATTTACTTTAAACATATTTGTTTTACAGAGACCTTTTAATAAAAGTGAAATTTGGAGAAAGCATCGAGGACTTGCAGACCTGCCGACTCTTAATTAAACAATACATCCCGACAGGACTTTTTGTGGATCCATATGAGTTGGCTTCATTACGAGAGAGAAACATAACAGAGGTACAGTACAACTCTTTTTTTTTTTCCCCAAAGGTACAACTTTTACACGGTGTTTTTTAAGAGAAATTATTTTGTGATGCTATAATTTGGATTAAGGCAAAATAGTAGGGAGAAAACATTGTAGTATTTTTTATTTTGTTAAAGTGTATAAAGTAGCATTTTTTAGATAGTATAGGAGTATTCTTTAACAAGTGAGTGATTCTTGTCATACTTGTCAGTAGTAAGCCATTAAACCAAGATAGTTAAATGCCTTTTGGCAGGATGGTGACTGGTTTAATGACTAAGAAAATTATATGTGTTTGAGAATAATAATAATAAATACAGTTTCAACAGCAATTTTGTCAAATTAGATATACCCCAACATTTGTATAATTTGGGTATGGGAGGAAAGGAAATTAATATTTATTGGCTCTCTATATGCCAGATATCTTTAATTTTTTTTTTAAAAAAAGAAAGCAAGCATTAAAGGAAGATTAAGTCCCATAACCTTTACATAGATTAATCTTTATAATAACCCTGGAAGTATTATCTTCATTTTATAGATAAGCATACAGAGGCACCAAGAGGCCATGTTACTTATCCAAGATCACATAGTTAAAAGGAAGAGCCAAGAAATGATTCCAGGGTTGTCTAATTGCAAAGTTGTTGCTCTTTCCAGAGATGAATCTTACTCCTTAGTTAAGGGTTTTCCTAACTTTAATAAGAATCACCTAGGGGTACTTATACTGTAGATTATTGGCTTCCTGGGACATCTTAATTCAATAAATTTGGATTGGACCCCAAAATCTGCTTTTAATGACTCAGTTGATTAAGAAATTTTGGGAAATACTGTCTCTGATTGTAAGATTATAATTTGCATATGAATTTTAAAAAGGCAAAATAGATACACTTGGAGTCATTCATGATGGCAGTTTATTTCTAATTGTGGTTTAGGCCAATTTCCTCACCTTTTTTATTATTTAAATTTATTTTTGAATAGGTAATTACATTTTCATGGTTCAAATATTCAAGAGATGAGAAAAGGTACACAATGATAAGCTTCCACCTATTTCAACCCCCAGTCACCAAATTTCTTTATATGTTCTGTTTTTTGTGTATATATGGCAGTTTTGATACACATGTTCACATATATGGCAGTTTAGATACATATACACATGTGGAAAGATCTCATTGCTTTTCTCATTTGTTTCTTTTCTTCACTGAGTCATGAATTCTGAAAGAGACTTTTAAAATTTCAAATAATAGCTTTTAAATTTAAATGCAGGTTTTGGCTTGTAATGACATGGATTGGAATCATTTTCAAATCTATTTAATGAAATTGCCTACCATGTTTTAAGAAAATGAAATTTTTTTGCCTAGGTGAAATTTTTTTGCCCAGAAAGAGGTCAGATGCCTACGCTTTGGTTGGGATGAGACTGGGGTGTGTGCAGTTCAACTATAATAAGAAAATGGGGTGGGTAAAGGGTACCAGTTATAGATTGCTTGACAAGTTTCTCTTTTGCTTGATTTTTTGCTTCTAAATCTTCTAACTCCTAATTATAAGCCTTTTAAGTAAATTTACTTTTTCATTTTGGAAATTTTTAGAAAAATAGATGTCTCATTTGTGACATATAGAGATAATTGCAAGTTGATTTCTTGATTAGATGCTATTTCCTTCCGCCTAGCTGAGTTGACACTGTAGCCCAAGGAGGAACTTTGTCATGAGAGGTGGCATTATATGAAGAATTTAACTGGATAGAAGGGAATTTATATGTAGGGAATGACTGATGCGTATATGTTTAGATTGTGATCTTGACCCTGTTCCATGACATAAAATTTTTGGCTGCAGCATATGGAACAGTGGGTCTTAATCATTGGGTGATATGGCAACAAAATATTTTATAAAAAGCTTATGATGATTTGTGAGCAATTTGAAAATAAATCCTTAAATAGATTCACTATGGATAAGGCACATCAAATAAAACTCATTTCATTTTTAGGTAGGGCTGTAAGATATATTTAATCAAAATCTCTAACAGTTTTTGAAAATGGTATTATATTAGATTGAAACATGAAACTGCTGTTTTGTAGATCAAAATGGAAATACTATGTTTTTTAAATCATAAATTTTATTTACTCAAAATATGTAGTGTTAGGATTTCTGCTATGACCAACTTGGAAAGCAGGGACCAGATGTACTCTCCCACTTGAAACAACCAAGAATTAACATCCCAGTGTCAGAAAAGTATAATATTTTTCATTTTTATAAAGTTTTACATTTTTAGATTATATAAGTTGTTCAGAGGCACCAATTACTATGTCTTAATTGGGGAAAATTTTTTTTTGGAGTTCTAGTCCATGAGAGAAAGCTGAGACTAATGTTATAAATATGGCATTATTTCATAGTTTAATTCATTTAGCTTTGCTGTGGTGGTTTGTGACATATGTGGTTGAGGGTCCTCATGAAAAAGTATAGGTCCATGTCTGTTAACCAATGCATGATGCTTTAGGATTAATTTTGATGCATAATTTAAATTTCTTGATAACATGCTATTGTTTTATCTGTGGCAAAAACGGAATAATTCTGATTTTTGCAGAAAAACCATAAATGCAACCCCAAAAAGTACAATGACTATGTACTTTTTGGGGTTGCATTTATGGTTTTGGCCACGTTTGGGAGATTTACCAGTATCAGGTCATTGTCCAGATTACTTTTGATTTCCCCTTGAGCCACAGTCTCAACTCAGCTCCAAAAATGTTTTTCTGTTGTTTTGAATCTAAAGTGATATACACACCTCCAAATGTCTGAGTTTTTGATCACCTGTCAATTGATGTACCAACTTGTACAATTTTTTCTCTATTGTAACTAGGTTCCAAAGAAACTCTGAGCCGAAACACCTAAGTCAGCTAGCTCCAAGACCTCAAGTTGTTGTTTGTGGATTAGCTTCCACTGGTTCTTAATTGGTTTTGGTTTAAAAAGGATCTGGGTCTCTGTTGAGGGTCATTGTGAATGCAAAAATTGGACAGTGAAAAAGGCTCATAAGAAAAAATTTGGTTCATTAGAAAAAAGGTGTTGGAGGAGAGCTCTACATATATCTTGGATTGCCAGAAAGGTGAACAAATGGGTCCTAGAGCAAATTAAGTCTGAAACATCATTGGGGCAAAAATGACAAAACTGAACCTCTCATTCTTTGGGCACATTATGAGAAGGCAGGGTTCTTTGGAAAAGACACTAGTGTTGGGAAAAGGATAAGGCAGAAGGAAAAGAAAAAGGCCAAATGTGAGATGGATTGACTCCATAAAAGAAGCCATAGGCATGACTCTACAGGACTACACAGGACAGTTGAGGACAGGACATTTTGGTTGTCACTTATTCACAAGGTCACCAAGATTTGGAGTCAGCTCATTGGCACATATCACACAAATAATGGAGCTAATAGTTCATGCCTGATAAGATTCTTGTGAAAATTAAAGGAGATAATGTACATAAACTTTGAAATACCTAGCAACGTAGGAAGTACTCAAAGAAAAATACCTTTATTATTATCAGGTCATATATACATCCTGGACAAGATAGAAAAATTTGGACTATATGTTATTTTGATTTGCACCTAGTTGTACCCAAAAAGAGTTCATTAATAAATTTCTATTGGGAAGTGTCTAGTAATTTCTTAGAACTTTGCTCTTTGATCCTCCTGGTCAACATTTTTTTTCCTTAGATGAAAATACAGAAGACATAGTTATCAAATTCATAAATGTTACATAAATGTTGGTTGACTGATTAAGATTTTAATCAAATCTCGTCAGCCTAGAAATAAATGGACTGTGGCCAGAAAGATAAAATTTAATAGAAATAAATCTCAATTCCTGCATTTAATTAGTAAAAAGTCAACTAGAAAAAAAATAGGATGAGAGTTAAAGTTTTCTTCAAAAAATTCAAATGAAAAATGTAGGGATGAATAGGTAGTGCACAGGGTCAGTGAAATTATTCTATATGATACTATAATGGTAGATTCGTGACATTTTACATTTATCAAAATGCATACAATCTACAAAATAAAAAGGGAACCCTAACTTAAACTATGGACTTTAGTTAATAATAATGTGTCAATATTGGCTTATCAATTTTAAGAATTGTGTCACGTTAATGTTAATAATGGCGAAAACTGAGTGTTGCAAGGGCTGTTAAAGGGGTATATGGAGATTGTATTTTCTGCTCATTTTTTCTGTAAACCTAAAACTGCTCTAAAAAGTAAAGTATTACTTTTTTTTTTTTAAAGAATGAGATAGGTAGGTAGGTAGATAGATATCATACTGAAATAAGGCTGCTAAAAGCTAATATAATTTGTAACTAAAGAAAGTCATACTGCTGCTATAGTCCCTGTGTATTTCCAAAGGCAACTAATATGATGAATAGTTTGGAAATCATGTCATAAACTGAGAGAACAGTGCATATTTCTTTGGGGAGGAGAAAACTTAGTGGAGGCAGCATGATTTCCTTCTGATGTTTGAGGACCTTTAGTGAATTAAGGAATAGATTTATTGCAGATATTGTAAGCAAGAACAATGGGAGAATGTTATGGGCCAGAGCATCAAGTTTCAACTCATAGAAAAGGAATAACCTTTTAACAGTGGGTAAATTGAGATGACTCTTCCAGTCATTGAAAATATTTAAGCAGTGGCTGGATACTTGCTTCTCTGAAGAACAAAATATTCCTAGAATGATACCAATCATTTTAACCCAACACTGGGTTAACTATCTTTTGTCATAGTTTTCATACTTATCGAATAATGCTATATTTATTCACAAAATTTCTCTTGGTACCTGTTTTATCACTTGAACAAAAGTTAAGGAAATTACATAGAAATAATTTTTATTATGGGAAAATTTTACACCTTGGAGTATAATTTCCTCAGTTTGCTTTTAGTAAACAAATTTTTATTAAACATAGATCACATCTTTTTTTTTTTTTTAATTGAGGATGGAAGGAGAATGGAAATTAGAAGGATGATGAATTTGACATTATTTTTCCTCTAATAGCAGTCTTCTGGTTTTATTTTTCTTTTTTAGAATTTTCCTAATTTATTTCTTCTGGATTAATATTTGTTTTCTTTTTGACAGGCAGTGATGGTTTCAGAAAATTTTAATATAGAAGCTCCCAACTATTTGTCCAAGGAATCTGAAGTTCTCATTTATGCCAGACAAGATTCACAGTGCATTGATTGTTTCCAAGCTTTTTTGCCTGTACACTACCGCTATCATCGGCCACATAGTAAAGATGGAGAAACTTTTATTGTAGTCAATAACCCTGATTTGTTGATGTATTGTGACCAAGGTGAGGATTGCAAGTCTTTTCTGAGAGTTGAAAATAAAAATAAAAGTATAGTGTCAAGTCTGAAGTCAAGGGATAACAAAAGGATGTTTTTCCCTTTCTTTTTAACTTTTTGATTATAAAGATAAAGCATAAATATAGAAAAACTTCACAAATACATAGTTTAGTGAATTATTATAAGGCAGATATTCTTGTAACTAAGATCCAGGTCAAGAAACTCTGCCACCCACCCTAGCAGCAGCTCTGTGTATCCTGTCCCAATTATAGCCTCCTCTTTTCCTCTCAGACTATCTGACTTTTAATCACTACCTTATCTTTCTTTATACTTTTATCACCCAAGGGGCATTCTTAGACACTAGAGCTTAGTGTTGCCCATTTAAAAATTTTTTGTTATTTCCATTAACTTCTTAATTTATCTCCCCTCTGTTCCTTCTATCTGTTTTCTTAAAATTTAACTGTTGAAGAATTTGGGTCATTTGACTTGTAGAGTTTCTCAGAGTTGGGGATTTGGTGGTTGTACTCACACAGTTCATATGACCTCTTTATTTCCTAGAAATTGGCAGCTGGCTCCAGAGATGTGATCAGATTCAGGTTTCTTTTTGACAAGACTATAGGTGGTGCTATGTTCTTTTATGAGTAGATTTATAATGTCTGTTGTGTTTCCTTTTTCAGCCATTGATCCTCATTGCCCCTTTGCTGCTGTTTATTCATGCTGATATTGCAGGAATTGTGAATGTTGGTCTTTTGTCCCCACTTGCATGTATTTTGGTGTTTGAAGGAATACCTTATCACCTAGTTTTGTTTGAATGTTGTCCTCGAGTTTTTGGTTTTGTGTGTAATTGTTCTTTCTGTTTTTATGTGGGAATTTGCATAAATTTTTTAAAACGATGCTTTCACCATTTTCAGTCTTTCTAGAATCAAGACTTGGAGAAACCCTTTCAGATTTTGGTTCTTTGGGCTGGTTGCAAAAGTCAATAACACTGTTACTGAAAACTAGCAGATATGAAGTTTTTAGTCCGTACGTTTGCTGTCATCATATATTTCATGATGAGAAAATGAAAAAGTGTTCAACTATGTTAGCTTTCTTCACCCAACCTAATTTGTTTCTATTAGTGATACTTTTTACTTAGCCTAAATAAGGTTTGAAAAAGTGCCACCTCTTGAGAGAGTGATCTGGTATTGTTTCTTTTTTTTTTTGGTCCATGTTGCCATCAGAAGCAAAGAAATCTTGAAAAGAAAAAGCTATAATAGAATATAAAATTTTGGTACGTGTGCTCTTTATGTGGGTGTTTTTACTCAATGGCAATTTATCTTGTGTTTAGGATCTGTTTACTGTTCTGAATATATGTTATACTTCAAAAAAAGTTTAAAGAATTTTCAAAGTGGCGCCTAGTATGATGGGATTTGTTAAGAACTCATGCTCAACTTCTGCACAGTCTTTGTAATTTTATAATTACATATTGTGTATTAAAATGTTTGCATATTCATATCACAGGATGAAAGACTGACCTAGCCTGTAGTCCAGTACAGGTTTTCTGATATGATCTTCTAACACTTTTTTCAGAGTTTCCAATTCTGAAATGCTGGGCTCAGTCAGAAGTGGCAGCTCCTTGTGCTTTGAAGACTAAGGATATTTGCCAATGGAACAATATGAAATATAAATCAGTGAGTTAATATTTTATGTTTTTAGATCGTGCCCTCATTTAAAACTTTTTATGTTTCTACCACATTTAAGGGACTAGAATTTTCTATTCTATTATAGATAGCTTTTTTTAAAAAATATATATTTTTAATGTTTCTTTGCCACTGATGGCAACAGTGGTTCCTCATTTATACAGAGTCGTAGAATCATTTATTTAATCTGGGGGCTGAGATTCAGGTTAGTACCATGCCTCATTAGTCCAGAGCTTAAGTATAGCTGATATGCTTTTTTTTATTCCTAAATTTATTTATTTTAATTAGTTTCAAGTATACACTACATTTGTTAGACATCTGTATAGTTCGTAAAACGATCTCCCCAATCGTTCCCTCCCTCCCCTGACCCTCCACCTAGCCAACATATTAATGCTTACTGCATTTTCCGTGCTGTCCCGATGACCATCCATCAGCTAATTTGTACTTCTTTTACCCTTCATCTCATTCTCCCAGGCCCCACCCCCCACCCCTCTGTACGTCACCAAATTGTCCACTATATTTGTGAGTCTGTTTTTGTTTACTTTGTTCTTTTTATTCCTTAGATTCCGCATGTAAGTGAAATCATATAGTGTTTATCTTTCTCTGTCTGACTTAAATACCTTCTAGGTCCATCAGAGCAATATCTTTTTCCATCCCCTTCCTTTTAGTCTCTGTATGTCTTTTAATCTGAAGTGAGTCTCTTATAGGCAACATGTAGGGGTCTTGTTTTTCTTTCCTTTCATCCATTCAGTCTTTTAGTTGGAGCAATTAATTCGTTTCCATTAGAGGTACTTATTGATAGGAATGTAGTTGTTACCATTCTTTATTCCTGTTTTTAATTCTTAAAGAAGCCCCTCCAATATTTCCTATAATACTGGCTCGGTGGTGATAAATTCTTTTAGCTTATTTTTGTCTGAGACG